AACTAGACAAATTATGGTAATAGAATGTCCACATATATGGCTGTCAAGTAGTGACAGGACCAGTGTTTATCATGTGGAGGAAGGATGAGATACCTTTCTGCCGTATGTTTTTGGTAGCCAGGGAGAGGAGCAGGATTATAGTGGAAACTTAGAGAACACGATGAAATTAATCGATTAAAAAGAAATAAAGCAGATCCAAAATGCATTAAAAAGTGTATTTTGATGAAGAAGTATACCAAATCAGTTTAGAATTCATGATCCTGCAATCTTCCAGTTCCCTTATGGTATCACTATTCTGCACTCTTCAAAGAAAGCACATTAAGAATCCGAGGTTTCTAAAAGGTCATATGTATTATTATTAACCAAAAGGTGTTTTCCAACCTGATTTTCATTCGAGCATGGAAGATTTCCTTCAAGTGTATCCAGAAGCTGCACATAAAACATGTTTAGATAGCCACCTTAGAGTGCATGAGGCAGTTTTGGAAGGAGGAGAATTTTATGGACCTGATTGCGTAATTCTGATACTTCAGCTAACAATGTTTCTCGCTCTCCATGCTCGTGAAAGTTTTGGTACCTGGCATGAAGAATAATGAAAAATGAGTCACTGCCACCCAAAAAGAAGACAAAGAGCAACCATCTACAGAATTGAGCAATATACAAATTACAATTTAAGTTGCTCGAGAAGTCTAAAGTTCTCCGCTGCATATCGGGTCAATTCTGGATTGCTATCAATTCTTGCTTGAAGCAGCTGAATCTCTTCCAGTAAAGCCTTGTTCTCCTCCATCAGATACTTCTCAGCAGACAACATTCCATCCGTCAACAGTTCAAGTTGTTTGATTTTGTCCTCCCGAAACCTTAGCATCACTTCAGCATGTCCAACATCCTCCTCTCTTTGGCAAACCTGCAGAAATACCACGTCAATAATAAATCACATCACTTACTGCTATTTAGACATTAATAATCATGAAAAACCTTTACACAGAATAGTCAAGAACTTAACAGAGATAGGAAACCATATATAACTACTTATAGCAAAACACACCAAGTTGTTCATGTGTTCAATTTCAGGCACCAACTTCTGGACTTCAATTTCTGCCATCTTTTCCCTTCTTAGGGCACCAACTAAAACCGTCATCATGCTTTTCATCTGTTAAATTTGTGTTAGAATGCATTTCCATAGTGGCATTGCGTCATACAATTTTTCTATAGATGGAAAAACCCTATGAGATATGAGATCAGTTTTTGTGAATCTATGATCTTAAATGAACAAATAAGTCTTGCTTTAAGAGTACTTTGGGGCTAAAACCGGTGTGAGGAAACTAGTGGTTGTGTCTTGTGTGGTAGATCTTGCATAATGTACGTGTTTCTCAATATGGTAATTTGTGTGGCTCCGACACCAATTCACAAGCAATGTATGTTCATGCATGCCATTGGATTAGCCATAAAATTGCTTTTTGTGTGCAATTTGGTTGCTGTATATTTTTGTAAATGTTTCCACTTGATGAAGATATTATTAAGTTTAGTTCAAGTACGCAGGATTCGTATAAAAACACACGCGCGCGCACAAAAATAGTCACTGGTCAGGGTCTGGCTGTAGTGTTTGGTTTCTTCTTGATTTTTCGGTCGGATTGGTGTCTTCTTCTTGATTTTTCGGTCGGATTGGTGTCTTTTTGATAGGACTACTGAGCCGTCACTGTTGGGATGACACGTAAGCCATCCACATCAGCCCATGTCAGTAGTCTGTTAGAATCGTTGGAAGACTGTTAAGAGTTAGTTAACCGACTTGGGTATAAAAGAATAGTTGTAATCCATTTGTATCTCAGTGTGAAATAATACAAAGAACAAATTCTCTTTCTCCCTCGAGTGTTCATCTTTCTCTTCCTAATTCTCTCTTCTCTCTAGTCACTGCATTTCAATTCTTCTGTTCTGGTTATCATGATCGCCCGGACGATCATTGGTGTACTCGTCTTCCGCTGAAGCATACAGACAGAAGATCTTTCTTGGGGTTCTTCAATCTGGGTTTCTTCACCGCTCATTGCTATGGGCAATTTATTGGTTAGAAAAAAGGAAAAAGATAGAGCCGCAGAGAGAGTGGAAGATTCTGCGAACCCCTTTCAAAGAATTACAAAGTACGCAGGATCCAGCCTCAAAAATTCGTCAATACAAGGTCTTACGGCCATTCTATGGAATGCTGCCTGCACAACCTTCTCCTCCGCCATTCTGAAACTTCAGTGGGCACTGCAAGCAATAGAGAAATACAACCACCTTGAAGGCCGTGTGTTGGAGTCCCTCTCATGCAGCATCGCTGGAATGCTGGCCTCCTGCGCAACATTGTTGTTTGTGGTACACGCAACCAGAAGACCCCCCCTCCCACCCCCTGCACCGGCACCGGAGGCCCCTGCCCCCCTCCCACCCTCTCCACAAGATTTCAACTCGGACCACTTGCTCCGGTGGAGGGGGGCGAAGGGGGGCAGGGGCCTCCGGTGCCGGTGCAGGGGGTGGGAGGGGGGTTTTTCTGGTTGCGTGTACCACAAACAACAATGTTGCGCAGGAGGCCAGCATTCCAGCGATGCTGCATGAGAGGGACTCCAACACACGGCCTTCAAGGTGGTTGTATTTCTCTATTGCTTGCAGTGCCCACGGAAGTTTCAGAATGGCGGAGGAGAAGGTTGTGCAGGCAGCATTCCATAGAATGGCCGTAAGACCTTGTATTGACGAATTTTTGAGGCTGGATCCTGCGTACTTTGTAATTCTTTGAAAGGGGTTCGCAGAATCTTCCACTCTCTCTGCGGCTCTATCTTTTTCCTTTTTTCTAACCAATAAATTGCCCATAGCAATGAGCGGTGAAGAAACCCAGATTGAAGAACCCCAAGAAATATCTTCTGTCTGTATGCTTCAGCGGAAGACGAGTACACCAATGATCGTCCGGGCGATCATGATAACCAGAACAGAAGAATTGAAATGCAGTGACTAGAGAGAATTAGGAAGAGAAAGATGAACACTCGAGGGAGAAAGAGAATTTGTTCTTTGTATTATTTCACACTGAGATACAAATGGATTACAACTATTCTTTTATACCCAAGTCGGTTAACTAACTCTTAACAGTCTTCCAACGATTCTAACAGACTACTGACATGGGCTGATGTGGATGGCTTACGTGTCATCCCAACAGTGACGGCTCAGTAGTCCTATCAAAAAGACACCAATCCGACCGAAAAATCAAGAAGAAGACACCAATCCGACCGAAAAATCAAGAAGAAACCAAACACTACAGCCAGACCCTGACCAGTGACTATTTTTGTGCGCGCGCGTGTGTTTTTATACGAATCCTGCGTACTTGAACTAAACTTAATAATATCTTCATCAAGTGGAAACATTTACAAAAATATACAGCAACCAAATTGCACACAAAAAGCAATTTTATGGCTAATCCAATGGCATGCATGAACATACATTGCTTGTGAATTGGTGTCGGAGCCACACAAATTACCATATTGAGAAACACGTACATTATGCAAGATCTACCACACAAGACACAACCACTAGTTTCCTCACACCGGTTTTAGCCCCAAAGTACTCTTAAAGCAAGACTTATTTGTTCATTTAAGATCATAGATTCACAAAAACTGATCTCATATCTCATAGGTTTTTCCATCTATAGAAAAATTGTATGACGCAATGCCACTATGGAAATGCATTCTAACACAAATTTAACAGATGAAAAGCATGATGACGGTTTTAGTTGGTGCCCTAAGAAGGGAAAAGATGGCAGAAATTGAAGTCCAGAAGTTGGTGCCTGAAATTGAACACATGAACAACTTGGTGTGTTTTGCTATAAGTAGTTATATATGGTTTCCTATCTCTGTTAAGTTCTTGACTATTCTGTGTAAAGGTTTTTCATGATTATTAATGTCTAAATAGCAGTAAGTGATGTGATTTATTATTGACGTGGTATTTCTGCAGGTTTGCCAAAGAGAGGAGGATGTTGGACATGCTGAAGTGATGCTAAGGTTTCGGGAGGACAAAATCAAACAACTTGAACTGTTGACGGATGGAATGTTGTCTGCTGAGAAGTATCTGATGGAGGAGAACAAGGCTTTACTGGAAGAGATTCAGCTGCTTCAAGCAAGAATTGATAGCAATCCAGAATTGACCCGATATGCTGCGGAGAACTTTAGACTTCTCGAGCAACTTAAATTGTAATTTGTATATTGCTCAATTCTGTAGATGGTTGCTCTTTGTCTTCTTTTTGGGTGGCAGTGACTCATTTTGCATTATTCTTCATGCCAGGTACCAAAACTTTCACGAGCATGGAGAGCGAGAAACATTGTTAGCTGAAGTATCAGAATTACGCAATCAGGTCCATAAAATTCTCCTCCTTCCAAAACTGCCTCATGCACTCTAAGGTGGCTATCTAAAACATGTTTTATGTGCAGCTTCTGGATACACTTGAAGGAAATCTTCCATGCTCGAATGAAAATCAGGTTGGAAAACACCTTTTGGTTAATAATAATACATATGACCTTTTAGAAACCTCGGATTCTTAATGTGCTTTCTTTGAAGAGTGCAGAATAGTGATACCATAAGGGAACTGGAAGATTGCAGGATCATGAATTCTAAACTGATTTGGTATACTTCTTCATCAAAATACACTTTTTAATGCATTTTGGATCTGCTTTATTTCTTTTTAATCGATTAATTTCATCGTGTTCTCTAAGTTTCCACTATAATCCTGCTCCTCTCCCTGGCTACCAAAAACATACGGCAGAAAGGTATCTCATCCTTCCTCCACATGATAAACACTGGTCCTGTCACTACTTGACAGCCATATATGTGGACATTCTATTACCATAATTTGTCTAGTTACTTTCTGCTGCTATTGATACAATTTAAACCTATCATATTAACCATGTGAAGGCAAATGTCTTTCGCTGTTTTGGTGAAAAATGACATGTCGGCATTGCTCATTATCCTCTTATGTTTTTGGGTCCGCAGGGAAGTAGATGAATTACAACTAGAACTGCAAAAGCATATGAACTCCAGTCAGGCTACCTCGGGCTCTGTAAGGATAGCCTATAAATAGTTGGAAAGAAACTGTTGTTTAAACAACGTAATAACCTTTGCATATGTAGTTGATTGACAATCTTTGCATATATGCAGGTCAGATATTCTTTCTCCAAGGAAACTGAGGAATTCAGGCAATCAGATAAATATTCAATAGTAAGTGAGATATATCAATTTGTTTCCAGCCTAGTATCCAATTAGTTTACGTCGGAGACCATTCTTCAAATACTGGAGTTATTTTCAATTTACATTATTATTTTTTATCTTTGTTGCTATATCCCAGTTCATTTTATGTGCAAGTAAACAAAAGCTATCCATGCCATGATTTCACGTTGTGTTTCACTTTTCTACCTTGTGCTTGGAAATTTGCCACTTCCATTCTTGCACGCTTCATTTTACTCAAAAGAAAACAGAAGGACTCACTCACGGCAGCGAGAAGAAATTCTGCAGCTTGTTATTCATTTTAAATGAGCTAGAGAGCAACTAGTTCTAGACAGATTATAACCTACATAGACATCACGTTGTGTTGCACTTTGCCTTCTTCTTGGAATCAAATTTATGATTGGCAACCACTTTTCAGGTTGAAACCTTGTCTATAAGAAGTGACTCTGGAGATGAAATAGCATCTTACACTTAGGTATGTGATGAGTTTCTACAAAACCATTTGATTCATGTAGATCTAAATGTAGGTGATGATACTCAAAAAAGAGTAATTGAATGCTAGATTTGTTGTGCTAGGATAGCACCAAACCTTATGGAACCAACTCAAGCTAACCCACAGGAAATTTATCAAATGAAAATGCAAGAACAAAATATTAAAGACACCAAGATTTTAACGAGGTTCCTCAACAGTCAGTGTAACTGGAGTACGTCATCGGAGCAGTAGGAGCTCACCCAATAATCCACTATCAACCAAATGGGAGTTTACAAAGTGTTGGCAATCTCATAACCCAAAAGCCCAATACACCCAATAGCTCTCACACACCACAGAAACAAATAGAGAAAGAAATATAATGTATAATTTCTTCTCTACACATATAGCTCAAAGCTATTACAACAACAATTATGATGGATGATTGCTAACCAAAAAAAAAAAAAAAGCACTTTCTTCTTCTCTTCAACGAAGGGTTGCTGCACCCTCTCTATTTTTTGATGCTTTGCAGCTTGCACTCCTTTTTTTTGCAGCTCTCTCCTCACTCTTCTCTAAAACAAAATGAGCTTTTTTTTCTCCCACTCTTATTGCACCAACCGAACCCTTATTCTTTTCTTTAAGAAAAAGCCAAAGAGACATCATCATCACCCAATAAAAAATTAAAAAACATCATCATGACCATCAACTTTTCTTTTCAACAAACATAATCATGATGCCTCCTCATCATGATGTCTTTCATCTTTTTTTATTTTGGTTTGTTTATTAGCCGAAAGTTGTTTTGTTTTGTTGTCCACTTGGCCACAATTCAACAAGATTGTTGCGGGTTCATTTAATAATTGTGTTACATCATGTGTAGGAGGAAAGCTGCAGATACATGGAAGTCTCACGCAACAAGGACAAATTAGAAATCCAATCTGAGCTGAAACGTGTCATTTTCTGAAATCAGGTGATTTACATAAAGAAAACGAGGGCATGATAATGACGATCACTGAAGACGTTGAGAGGAAGGCTTTGCAAGCTAAGCTGGACAAAATGGCTACGGACCTTGAGGAGGTGAGGTTACTTAATAGCCACTTTCAAGAGGATCAGCTGTTACAGTTGTCTCACCAGAAACAAACCGAAACAGTCTGCGAACAGGTTGAGATGGAGACAGCGAGAACAATTCTTCGTTTAAGAGGTTGCTGCCCTTCAGTTTGAACTTGATGAGAACAATTCTACCATTAGTGCAAAGGGAACCAGTTTTTTGTTGCTATATTTCTTGTGAATCCGTTTGATCATCATCGTATTATTACTACTATGCTCTGCGTACTCAATTTTTTTGTCGGTTTTGGGACATATGCTTAATGTATTCTGCTGCTTACAGGTCAGAGACAAAATTGGAGATTTCATAAAGGGCGTATTTTCTAAATTCCAGGGTACGAATGTCCAAATATGGATTACGAAACGTATCGTACAGTGTAATACTGTGATTAGCTATGTAATGATTAGTTAGGTACATGCTCTTGTTGCTGTGGAAGTTTGCATTCCTGATTTTCTTTTGCAGATTTGGATTTTAGTTTCCTGGAAATGAACCCATTTACCTTGGTTGATGGTGAACCTTATGTTAGGAATGTCGGTACTACAAGGTAGAGAATGCACAAGGTAAAGTAGAAAATGAACACCAAGAATTTATGTGGTTTGGCAATTTATGCCTACGTCCACCAAACAAGGATCAATCTTCACTATATGAAAAAGATGAATACAACAAGAGTAGTCTTACCAAGGCAAAGACAAGGCTTGATGGATACAAGAAAGTATAACACACACTTTCTATCACTCTAAACTTCACTCACACAATGTGTAGTAGAACACTCTCACTCTCACTCTTGGAGTGGAACTCTAGCTTTGGACTTGATCCTTTGCTACTCACTCTTGGTTCTCAATTGGTTACATCACACCCATATTTATAGATGAGGGCTTGGCATTCTACTAGTTTCTAGTTCCTTCTTCAAACCTCTAGTATAGAAAAATCTAGACTAGCCACATACTTGTAGCTTCTAGATCTTTCCATTTGCAACCAAGGAAGCTAGTACTCTCTAGCTTCTTCCATCAATTTAATAACATGCTAGAATTGTCTAGCAAGCTCCAGCCTCATCTCTTGCTTACTAGAATAATCTAGAACATTGATCATGGGCTGGACCATATACCAACAATCTCCCCCTCCAGTTCATGAGGGAGGAATTCCGATCATGACTCCAAGTTACCTGGAGTTCATCCCAGCAGCCTTAATGCAGAATTCCAACTTTGATTTTGTGACTACCTTTGTCAACATGTCTGAAGAATTATTATCGGTATGAATCTTCTTCAGCTGTAGCAACTTGTTCTCGATAGCGTCTCTAATCCAGTGATAACGAATATCAATGTGCTTAGTGCGTGAATGATATGTAGTGTTCTTGCTCAAATCCAGAGCACTCTGACTATCACAATAAACGCCATAATCACTTTGCTTCAAACCCAACTCTTGGAGAAACCGCTTCAGCCACAACAACTCCTTGCATGCTTCTGTGTAGCGGCTATGTATTCAGCCTCGGTTGTGGACAAAGCAATGCACTTTTGTAACTTGGATTGCCAAGACACGGCTCCCCCTGCAAAAGTAAACAAGTACCCAGACGTAGATTTTCTACCATCCAGGTCACCTCCCATGTCAGCATCTGTAAATCCTTCCAAGATTGGTTTGGAACCGCCAAAGCACAAGCACATCTTAGAAGTCCCCTTCAAATATCTGAGAATCCACTTAACAGCTTCCCAGTGGTCCTTCCCTGGATTAGAGAGAAACCTGCTCACCACACCTACTGCATGAGCAATATCTGGCCGTGTGCACACCATTGCATACATGATACTTCCTACTGCTGAAGAGAGTAGGGAACAACTGCCATTTTCTCCTTTTCTTCATATGTTTTTGGACACGACTCTTTGCTCAACTTGATATGATTGGCTAAAGGTGAGCTTACCGATTTGGCTGCTTTCATGTTGAACCTTTCAAGCACCCGTTCAACATACTTTTTCTTGTGACAGCCACAACTTTTTGGATTTTCTGTCACGAATTATATATCCATGCCCAAAATCTGCTTGGCTGGCCCTAAGTCCTTCATGTCAAAGGACTTAGATAACTCTTCTTTGAGCTTTTTAATCATAGAGGTATCTTGTCCGACAATCAACATGTCATCAACATAAAGCAATAAGATGATGAATTTACCTCCAGAAAATTGTTTGATATAGACACAAGAGTCAGCATGAGTTCTCTTGTACCCATTACTCACCATGAATAAGTTGAACTTCTTATTCCACTGTCTCGGAGCCTGCTTAAGACCATATAAGCTTTTCTTGAGCTTGCACACCAAATTTTCTTTACCTTTGACTTCAAAGCCTTTGGGTTGCTCCATGTATATCTCCTCTTCCAAATTGCCGTGGAGAAATGCAGTTTTAACATCTAACTGCTCGAGCTCAAGATCCATACTTGCTGCCATACCAAGGATAACTCGAATGGAAGTCATCTTCACCACCGGTGAGAAAATCTCATCGAAGTCAACTCCTTTCTTTTGACCAAAACCTTTGACAACCAAATGAGCCTTGTACCTTGTCATGTTGTCGTCTCTTTTCAATTTGAACACCCACTTGTTTTTCAATGCTTTCCTGCCCTTTGGAAGCTCCACCAGCTCATAGGTATCATTCTTTGATAAGGAATCCATCTCCGACTCCATTGCCTTCATCCATTTGTCACTGTCGTTATGAGCTATGGCCTCCTCATATGTTTCAGGCTCTCCATAATTAGTCAACATGATATACTCTGATGAAGAATACTTGGTAGATGGTCTTCGACTTCTAATGGATCTTCTGACCTGATCTTCATTCTCTTGTAGGGCTGGAGGCTCCCCCTGATTGGGTTCTCCTTGAATCTGCTCTTCTTGACTAGGCTCCACCTGATCAGCAATCTCATGGTCTGGCACATCTTGATCAGGCTCCCCCTGATCAGCATTATCTGGTTCTGCAGGCACTTCATTGGCAGCTGCTTCAGGGATGTCATTGTGACTTTCTTCATCTGAAGCTAATGGATCAACTCCTCTGTCTGCGCCATCTGGTTGTGCTTCTTTATCCGAATCCCCAATTGTTTGATCTTCATAAAAGACCACGTCTCTACTTCGAATAAACTTCTTCTGGTATGGGTCCCATAATCTGTAACCAAAATCTTCATCGCCATAACCAAGAAAGATGCACGGTGTAGCTTTGTAGTCTAACTTCGATCTCTGCTCTTTGGGCACATGCACAAAAGCTTTACAGCCAAACACTTTCAGATGAGAGTAAGACACATCATTACCAGCCCATACTCTCTCTGGAACATCAAGACCTAATGGTACTGATGGAGATCGGTTGATCAAATAGCAGGCTGTCCTTACAGCTTCACCCCAGAACTGCTTAGATAACTTTGCAGTCCTCAGCATACACCTGACTTTCTCCATGATGGTTCGGTTCATTCTTTCAGCAACACCATTATGTTGTGGAGTTCCAGGAACTGTCTTCTCATGACGTATGCCATGTTTCACACAATACTCTCTAAACTGGTGAGATGTGTACTCGCCGCCGTTGTCGCTACGAAGGCACTTAAGAGGTTTCCCAATTTCCCTCTCCACCATGGCATGGAACTCCTGGAATGTCTGAAACACCTGGTCTTTGGATTTCAACAAATACACCCAAACCTTTCGTGAAGCATCATCAATATAAGTAACAAAATATTTATTTCTTCCGAGTGACTCGACTTCCATGGGACCACACACATCTGAATAAACAAGATCTAACAAATTTCCTTTCCTTGTAGATGGAATCGAAAAACTAATTCTTCTTTGTTTTCCTAATAAACAGTGCTCACAAGAGTTTAACGACGTACCTTTGGCAAAGGGCATGTGAGACTTCTTTGCCAAAACCTGTAGGCCTTTCTCGCTCATGTGACCTAGCCTCTTATGCCACAAGTCTAGAGATGAGTCCTCCACAGCATTCAACTCACCTTTCAAAACCTTGGCATTTGACCGGTACAACGTACAACAAAGTCGTGCTCTTGCTACCACCATTAAGCCTTTAGTAAGCTTCAATTTTCCTTCGCCAATATGGTGATAATATCCTTGTCGATCAAGGGTACCGATGGATATCAGATTGAGACGTATATCAGGAATATGTCTCACATCTTTCAACATCAATTGGTAGCCGAGATTAGTTCTTAGACATATATCACCAATTCCAAGAATTTTGGAATAGCTTTCATTCCCCATCTTCACTATGCCAAAGTCACCTTCTTTGTATGTACTGAAGAACTCCCGTTTGGACGTAGCATGGAAGGAAGCTCCATTGTCAAAGATCCATTCAATGTCTCTGTCTGAGTTGCCCATATGCAGACATTCACCAACAGACAATATTTCTGGTACATCACCACATATGACAGCAGTGGTATTGCCAGTATCATCTTTCTTCTGATTGTTTCCTTCCCTTTGCTCTCTCTTCCAAACTCGACAATTTTTCTTCATATGGCCTTCTTTGCCACAATGGTGGCATGCACCCCTGAACCTTGACTTAGATCGGCTAGGACTCCTGCCATGACCTCTAGGCCCTCTACTCTTGCTTCTTCCGCGGTTCTCTGTGACAAATACTTGGCTGCTATCTGTGCCAGAAGTCTTTCTCCTTGTTTCTTCATTGAGCATGCTATTTTTAACATTATCAAGGGTAAGAACACCATTAGAAGCAGAGTTACTTATACTCACCATAAAGGTTTCCCAACTGTCTGGCAAGGATCCAAGTAACAAGAGCGCTTGTAGCTCGTCCTCGATCGTCATTTTCATAGTAGCCAACTGGTTGATGATATTCTGGAAATTGTTCAAGTGTTCTGCTACACTTAAACCATCCTTGTACTTCACATTGATGAGCTCTTTGATCAAGAAGGCTTTCTTAGCTGGAGTCTTCTTCTCGAACAAGGACTCAAGCTTTGTCCAAAACTCGCGAGCATTGGTTTCATTAGACACATGGTGAAAAACACTATCGTCCACCCATTGTCTAATTGTGCCAATAGCCTTGCGATTCATCTTCTTCCACTCGGCATCGGACATGCTCTCTGGCTTAGCGGCATCTCCTTCAATTGGCTCATGCAGATCCTTGCAATAGAGAATGTCCTCCATCCTTGGCTTCCATGTTACCCAATTGGAGTTGGTGAGTTTGATCCTAGTGCCACTTCCTTCCATCTCGCAGTACGAGCCAACCGGGCTCTGATACCACTTGTTAGGAATGTCGGTACTACAAGATAGAGAATGCACAAGGTAAAGTAGAAAATGGACACCAAGAATTTATGTGGTTCGGCAATTTATGCCTACGTCCACCAAACAAGGATCAATCTTCACTATATGAAAAAGATGAATACAACAAGAGTAGTCTTACCAAGGCAAAGACAAGGCTTGATGAATACAAGAAAGTATAATACACACTTTCTATCACTCTAAACTTCACTCACACAATGTGTAGTGGAACACTCTCACTCTCACTCTTGGAGTGGAACTCTAGCTTTGGACTTGATCCTTTGCTACTCACTCTTGGTTCTCAATTGGTTACATCACACCCATATTTATAGATGAGGGCTTGGCATTCTACTAGTTTCTAGTTCCTTCTTCAAACCTCTAGTATAGAAAAATCTAGACTAGCCACATACTTGTAGCTTCTAGATCTTTCCATTTGCAACCAAGGAAGCTAGTACTCTCTAGCTTCTTCCATCAACTTAATAACATGCTAGAATTGTCTAGCAAGCTCCAGCCTCATCTCTTGCTTACTAGAATAATCTAGAACATTGATCATGGGCTGGACCATATACCAACACCTTATCCGTAGATATGAGGGGGGAGCTGGATGACACTGCTGCCTTCAAGAACTTCAATAAGTATATTTCTCTTGAAGATTTTCCATACTTTAGTTCTACCTGTTTCTAGTTGACTACTTTTGGTTTGATTTTTCCTTCTGACGATATTTGTAATACTATTCAGATGGGGCAGTGTGGAGTTTCCATTGCCTTTCGGCAGAGTCTTAAGTCCTACAGAAACGTTTATTCATTCTCTGGATGAAAGGGTAATAACCTAACCGTTCCTTGTGCGGAAAGAAATTTATGATAAATTTCAATTTACTTAAGGATCAGCACTTTTTAAGAATTGTTCAAACTAAAGTTAAACATATATATTGCAGACAAGCGCGTCCTTAAAATTCACTGTGTTGAACCCAAAATGACGCATCTGGACCATGGTACCTGGAGGGGGTGCAAGTGTAATTTACGCTGATACTGTGAGTGGCCTGATGTATTGCAACGATATAGCTATACTGTCCCTGTAGCAGCCCTTTCAAAATTTTGGGTCTCCATTTTTTGCTTTAATTCATCGTTTCTGATTGAATGTGCACCCATTGCTATTTCTCCCCTCTGTTTCTTTGAACGTTGGGTACCTTTAAATTCATACCATGGCCTGTTGTAATATTCTGGCATCTTTATGGGAATTAGGTTGGAGATTTGGGTTATGCTTTAGAACTTGGAAATTATGCAGAGTATAGTGGAGCTCCAAATGAGGAAGAGGTGTTGCAATATGCAAGAGTTGCGATGGATGTAAGAAGCTTTTCTTATCTTACGAAGACCTCTTTTTTCTCTCTTGCTCACACACACACACACACACATCTTCTCGTTTTTACTTCATCTGACTAATCAAGTTGCAACCATTACATGCAGCATACACTAACTGCCAATAAAATTATCATATATTGCAGTGTGCAACAGCTGATCCAGATGGTCGTAAAAGAGCTCTAATAATTGGAGGTGGTATAGCTAATTTCAGAGACGTAGCTGCTACATTCCATGGAATTATTAGAGCCCTAAGGGAGAAGGTATCACCACATTTTGACATTCATATCATATACGATAGATTGGCCTAGTTGGTTTATTTTGTTTTGTATGCTCAAATCGTTTCTCTTTTGCGATATCAAAGGAATCCAAGCTAAAAGCGGCAAGAATGCATATATTTGTGAGAAGGGGCGGTCCAAATTATCAAACTGGTTTGGCAAAGATGTGTGCTTTGGGGGAAGAACTCGGAGTTCCTCTGGAGGTATGCGATGATTTTCTGGTTTTAACACTTGATATCAGTTAACTCCGCCTATGTCTTACATGGCCGGTCCCAAGCCCGGATAAAGGAGGAGGGGGAGGGCGTCAGGTAGTCGACAGCCGGCACTCCATGATCACGTCGAATCCTTATGAAAATGAATCCAGAACAAAATCGCGCTAAAGCTAGGGCGTCACCCGTAAGTGGCGCGCTGTGTGGCCCGAGCACAGTGATAAGTGAGCAAGGGTCGCTGTATCTCCATCCGCACCCGGATGCAGTGTTAAATGAGCAAGGGGGCCATAGAAACTTCTTTTCGAACGACTCCACTCAAAGTTGTTTGGGAGCATATGCTCCTATCAACTTTACCCGGGACACACAAAAGAAGTACTTTGATCCTATTAGACGGGGGAGGGTTGAAGAAGCTAGGACAGAAGGGTAGAGTTCAAGAGAGCAAAATGCGTTTAGGAACGTGGAATATAGGAACCTTAACGGGAAAATCTATGGAAGTAGTGGAAGTTATGGTGAGGAGAAGGATAAAATATTATGTGCCTACAAGAAACTAAGTGGGGTTGGTAGTAAGGCAAAGGATCTAGAAAACTCAGGGTTTAAACTTTGGTATTCGGGCACAAAAATAGAACGAGAAACGGTGTTGGCATCATCGTGGACAAGACCTTGGTACAAGATGTTGTAGATGTCAAGAGGGTAGGAGATAGAATCATGGCAATCAAGATTGTAATAGGACAAGAACTTATCAATGTGATTAGTGCGTACGCACCTCAAGTAGGGTTGGATACGAGTTCGAAGGAGAAATTTTGGGAAGATCTTGGAGACTTGGTGCAAGGAATTGCTCAGACGGAGAAGTTATTTATAGGAGGAGATTTAAATGGACACGTGGGCAGGGAGACAGGCAACTATGGAGGTTTTCATGGTGGCCATGGTTTTGGGGAGAGAAACGAGGATGGGAAGCTATCTTGGATTTTGCAATGGCATATGATCTCTTCTTAGCCAACACCTTCTTTAAGAAGAGAGAAGAACATGTGATCACCTACAAGAGTGGGTCGTCAAAAACACAAATAGATTTTCTTCTAATGAGGAAATGGGATCGTATAACTTGTAAGGATTGCAAAGTTATACCAGAAGAGAGCGTGGCTAATCAACATCGCTTGTTGGTGATGGATGTACATATCAAAAGAGTAAGACAAAAGAACAAGACTTGGAAGTGCCCAAGGACTAGATGGTGGAATCTAAAAGAAGAAAAACAAGCCATTTTCAAAGAGAAGGTAATCACCCAATGTGTGTGGGATAGAGAGGGGGAAGCTAGCCAAATGTGGGATTCCATGGCTAGTTGTATCCGAAAAGTAGCAAAAGAGGTATTAGGAGAGTCCAAGGGCTTTGCCCCACACCAAAAGGAATCTTGGTGGTGGAATGAGGAGGTACAAACAAAGGTGAAGGCTAAGAAGGAATGTTGTAAAGCCTTATACAAGGAGAGGACCGATGAAAATGGTGAAAGGTATAGAAAAGCGAAGCAAGAGGCGAAGAAAGCTGTCAGAGAAGCTAAGTTAGCGGCTTACGACGATATGTATAAACGACTAGATACCAAAGAAGGAGAGTTGGATATCTATAAACTATCTAGAGCAAGGGAAAAGAAGACAAGGGACCTAAACCAAGTGAGGTGCATCAAGGATGAGGATGGAAAGGTTCTTGCTACAGAGAACGCGGTTAAAGACAGATGGAGAGGTTATTTTCATAATCTTTTCAATGAAGGACATGAAATGAGTGCTTCTTTAGGGGAGTTGAGTAACTCAGAAGAGTGTAGAAACTACTCTTTTTATCGTCGAATCCGGAAGGAAGAAGTGGTTGTAGCGTTGAAGAAGATGAAGCATAAAAAAGCAATAGGCCCAGACGATATACCAATCGAAGTGTGGAAACTTTTGGGAGAGACAGGTATAACATGGCTCACTGACCTTTTCAATAGGATTTTGAAAACGAAGAAGATGCCAAATGAATGGCGAACGAGCACTTTGGTGCCTATCTACAAGAATAAGGGCGACGTACAAAATTGCATGAACTATAGGGGTATTAAGCTAATGAGTCATACAATGAAGCTCTGGGAGAGAGTCATTGAGCATAGATTGAGGCAAGAGACACGGGTTTCGGACAACCAATTCGGGTTCATGCCAGGGCGCTCAACCATGGAGGCAATCTATCTCTTACGAAGATTGATGGAAAGATATAGAGATGGGAAGAAGGATTTACACATGGTCTTTATATAGATTTGGAAAAAGCGTATATGATAGGGTCCCAAGAGACATTCTTTGGAGGATTTTAGAGAAGAAAGGAGTACGAGTAGCATATATCCAAGCTATAAAGGATATGTATGAAGGAGCAAAGACTGCCGTAAGAACTCATGAAGGACAAACCGAAAGCTTTCCCATAACTGTAGGATTACATCAAGGCTCATCCTTAAGTCCTTACCTTTTTGCGTTGGTAATGGATGAGTTAACAGGACATATTCAAGATGATATTCCTTGGTGTATGCTTTTCGCAGACGATATAGTGTTGATAGATGAAACTCAGGAAGGGGTAAATGCAAAGCTTAACCTTTGGAGAAAAGTGTTGGAATCTAAAGGTCTTCGCCTAAGCCGATCAAAGACAGAATATATGGAGTGCAAGTTCAGTGCAAATGGAGGCCAAAACGAGTTAGGGGTGAGGATCGGAGATCAAGAAATACCAAAGAGCGACCGTTTTCGTTACCTAGGATCTATCTTGCAAAAGAACGGAGAATTAGATGGAGATCTCAACCATAGAATACAAGCTGGATGGATGAAGTGGAAGAGTGCATCCGGCGTGTTATGTGACCGTCGTATGCCACTGAAGCTCAAGGGAAAATTTTATAGGACGGCAATAAGGCCGGCGATGCTGTATGGCACAGAATGTTGGGCGGTGAAACATCAGCACGTACACAAAATGGGTGTAGCGGAGATGAGGATGCTTCGTTGGATGTGTGGGCACACGAGAAAGGATAAGATTAGGAATGAGGATATCCGGGGTAAAGTAGGAGTAGCCGAAATTGAAGGAAAGATGAGAGAAAAATCGGTTACGGTGGTTTGGACATGTACAAAGAAGGCCTACTGACGCTCCGATTAGAAGATGCGACTATGGGACAGAGGTTCAGGGCCGAAGGGGTAGAGGAAGACCTAGGAAAACTTTGGAAGAGACTCTAAGAAAAGACTTAGAGTACTTGGATCTAACGAAGGACATGACACAGGATCGAGCACAATGGCGTTCTAAGATTCATATAGCCGATCCCACCCAGTGACTTGGATTTTCCAAGTCTCCAACCGAGAGAAGTTTTCCTCACTCGGAAAATTAAGGGAACACTACCCCAACCTACATGCTCCACTCAGAAAGCTTCAACATACAAGCTTCAACAAAAGAAAATTCAAAGAACTTAGCGAATAAGGCTTTGGTGTATATTTAACACAATACGTTGAAATGAAGGAAAGCTTATTTATTGATATCCCCGATAAGCTACAAATATATGTACATATACATGAGTCAAAATAAACACACAAGAGGGAGCCTTCACAAAGGTTGCTTAGGAGAAGTCTCAGCAGTAGGTAGAGCCCCAGAAAGAGAAGGCACCGGAGGGGGATCATTTGGAGCCTCAGTACTGGACAGAACCCTAGAAGGAGGAGGCATCAGAGGTTGATCATTTGGAGCTTCATTACGCGGTACAGCCCCAGAAGACGAAGGCAATAAATGCCTTTGGAAAACCCAAACCCACAAATTCTCTGATGATCAAGTAAAACCTGACCATTCAGTTTCCTTCATCTGGTCAAGCTTCCTCTTCATGTTTGTAGCATAGTCATGTGCGAGCCGGTGCCGGTGCAACTGTTTATTCTCATGCTTGAGCCCTCTAATCTCCTGTTTGAGACTCATCACTTCAGCCGCCAATGATTCAACTTGGCAGGTTCGAGCAAATAGGCGTTGGGCCATATTAGACACAGAACCTGCACACTGAACACTGAGAGCCAGCGAATCCTTAACAGCTAACTCATCAGACCGTTTGGAAAGTAGTCTGTTATCTTTGGGAGTGAGAAGGTTCCTGGCCACCACCGCAGCGGTCATATCATTCTTCATCACGGAATCCCCAACGGTAAGATGACCAGTAGGGGAGACGAAGGATGGGCGCCATATGTTGTCTGGAGAAGGCGGGGCTGCTTCTTCAACAAGGTTCAAGTCAAAACGACGGTCGGAGGGGCCAGACATTTTCAAAGGTGTTGAAGAGAGAAGAGGTCGGACAAATCAAGATCTTAGAAGTGCAAGAATGAAGCTTCTACTGGTGGAGATTCAAGTGTGCTTTGGAACTTAATGCCAGCCCCTATAAAAATCTGCACTCGACGGAGCTTCAGAAATCGAAGAAGCGCCTGCTCAGAAATCGAAGAGGCGTTTGCTTTCTCAAAAGCTGGGCTGCTTAGAGATCACGAGGGTTGATCTCAGAAATCGAAGAGGCGTTTGCTTTCTCAAAAGTTGGGCTGCTCAAAGACCACAAAGGCCGATCTCAGAAATCGAAGAGGCGCTCGCTTTCTCAAAAGCTGGGCTCCCCAGAGACCACGAGGGCCGATCTCAGAAATCGAAGAGGCACCTACTTTTCCAGCCTTGTCAGCACCTGTCACACGCACACTCAGCTTTGCGGAAATTATGGGCATTCTATCGAAGACTTCTGGGGAAGTAGAAAACACATGAATCTTACTGTTCAATCACCCACTTGCCACACGCAAAAATAGCTCATGGGTACCACAGAAAACTTTGCCAAAGTTCTCTGCCAAAGTTGAGCACGTGAAGCTTGCAGCTCCCACTACATCGCTCTGACCAAGAAGGGTAAAAGAATAGCAAATAAACAGCACTAACAAAGTTTAAACCCATAAATTTTGAAGGTCTAGCTACCATATTATTACCCACAAGGGTAAAGGAACAGTACCACTGCTGGATAATTGGAAAGTCCCTGTGTGTCAACCTCTGTGCTTCGTGGCAAGGTAGACTAGCAAACATGCCCAACCTTTACTCACATTCGAGAAAACACTCCCAACAAGATTGCTTGCTCCAAAATCGAAGAGGCACCGTCCTCCGAATCTCGAGAGCCAGACTCCCAACATGACTACTTTCTTAAAAATCGAAGAGAAGCTTCGTGGCAAGGTAGACTAGCAAACATGCCCAACCTTTACTCACATTCGAGAAAACACTCCCAACAAGATTGCTTGCTCCAAAATCGAAGAGGCACCGCCCTCCGAATCTCGAGAGCCAGACTCCCAACATGATTAATTTTCTCAAAAATCGAAGAGACACTGCTCCCCGAATCTTCGAGAGCCAGACCCCCAGCATGATTGCTTTCTCAAAAATCGATGACGCATCGTTCTCCGAATCAATCGAAGAGATGCTCGCTTTCTCAAAAGCTGGGCTGCTCAGAGACCACGAGGGCCAATCTCAGAAATCGAAGAGGCACCTACTTTTCTAGCCTTGTCAGCACCTGTCACACGCACACTCAGCTTTGCAGAAATTATGGGCATTCTGTCGAAGACTTCTGGTGAAGTAGAAAGCACATGAATCTTACTGTTCAATCACCCACTTCCCACACGCAACAATAGCTCATGGGTACCACATATAACTTTGCCAAAGTTCTCTGCCAAAGTTGAGCACGTGAAGCTTGCAGCTCCCACTACATCGCTCTGACCAAGAAAGGTAAAAGAATAGCAAAGAAACAGCACTAACAAAGTTTAGACACATAAATTTTGAAGGTCTAGCTACCATATATTATTACCCATAAGGGTAAAGGAACAGTACCACTGCTGGATAATTGGAAAGTCCCTGTGTGTCAACCTCTGTGCTTCGTGGCAAGGTAGACTAGCAAACATGCCCAACCTTTACTCACATTCGAGAAAACACTCCCAACAAGATTGCTTGCTCCAAAATCGAAGAGGCACCGTCCTCCGAATCTCGAGAGCCAGACTCCCAACATGACTACTTTCTCAAAAATCGAAGAGAGGGTAAAGGAACAGTACCATTGCTGGATAATTGGAAAGTCCCTGTGTGTCAACCTTTGTGCTTCGTGGCAAGGTAGACTAGCAAACATGCCCAACCTTTACTCACATTCGAGACAACACTCCCAACAAGATTGCTTGCTCCAAAATCGAAGAGGCACCGCCCTTCGAATCTCGAGAGCCAGACTCCCAACATGATTACTTCCTCAAAATCGAAGAGACACTGCTCTCCGAATCTCGAGAGTCAGACCCCCAACATGATTGCTTTCTCAAAAATCGATGAGGCATCGTTCTCCGAATCTCGAGAGCCAGATACCACAGACCACTTTTTCAAAGTGCTCTGACAGAGTTAAAACATGTGAAACTGGCAGCTCCCACTACCGTGCTATGACCAAACAGGGTAAAGGAATAGCATTACTACTTGTTGTTAGGGAGACTCCTATATATGTGTCGACCTCCATCCCCAACGGACAGGCAGACCTGCAAAAATGCTCAACCCTTCATCATATCTGAGAGGGCACTCCCAACGAAGCCTTTCGAAATATTCAGCTTTCTTTCCCCCCGATAATACCTCTGCAAACAAGCTATATACTAGAGCAAGAATATCTCATATCATCAGGGTTAAAAGCAAGAGAGTATCCCATATCATGCTTTTTCCCTGTCTTTTCCTTTGGCCTTGTTTTTACCTGCAAGACAAGGAGAAAGAGAGCAATCAGTCAGCACTTGGAATCAAGCTTCCAGCCAAGAACTGACTGCCTGGAACCCCTTACCTGATTACTTACCTGGCATTGCTCTCGAGTACTCATGTTCAACATCTTATGTTTCCAGGGAAGATTCCGCATCTGCTTGAGGAACAGATAGGGCAAGTGCGAAGGATACAAGGAAGCATGTGGAGACAAGCGTAACAGCACACGTGCCGATACATCCATTACTCTGTCAAAAGCAAAAGTATCCCATATCAGCAGGGCGGAACGTACTCTAGATTTGATGGACTTGTTTTGACCCTCAAATTCTTCAGTCGGCCTTATACTCTGGAGGAAACCAGAAAACCCTCCAGCTCAGTTCAAGAATAAGCCTGTGGAAAGTTACTTCTTCAAAAGCAAAAGTATCTCATATCATCTCTTCTCATTTTTCTTCTCTTTATCCTTCATGCTGCTGCAAGATGGGGAGAAGGTGAACAATCAGTCGGAGCTCTGATTGCTTACCTTGTCTGTCACCTCTTTCAGCAGACCCCCTAGCTCGGCGACTTGGGGGACTCCTACTACATGGTTTGTATCGCGCTTGACCAAGCCTGAAACTACAAGTAAGCTTCAAGTGAAATTGATACATTACCTTGTGCATCTCCACCAGTTAAAGATACCACCCCTGGATGGAGGAAGAGTACTTCCAGAGAAGATGCCACATCTACCTATGAGACAGATAAGGCAAGTCAAGACGACACCACACTCCGATACTTAGAAGTTTCGTGATTACGAGATCATTCTCCCACAATATTTCCTAATGTCATTTGTACTAAATCATTCACTTGTACTCACTAAAGGAGAGCTTGAACCTATGTACTTGTGTAAACCCTTCACAATTAATGAGAACTCTTCTATTCCGTGGACGTAGCCAATCTGGGTGAACCACGTACATCTTGTGTTTGCTTTCCTATCTCTATCCATTTATATACTTATCCACACTAATGACCGGAGCAATCTAGCGAAGATCACAAAAAGCGACTGTTTTCGCTACCTAGGATCTATCTTGCAAGAGAACGGAGAATTAGATGGAGATCTCAACCATAGAATACGAGCTGGATGGATGAAGTGTAAGAATGCATCTGGCGTGTTGTGTGACCGTCGTAGGCCACTGAAGCTCAAGGGAAAATGTTATAGGACGGCAATAAGGCCAGCGATGTTGTATGGCACAGAATGTTGGGCGGTGAAGCATCAACACGTACACAAAATGGGTGTAGCGGAGATGAGGATGCTTCGTGGGATGTGTGGGCACACGAGAAAGGATAAGATTGGGAATGAGGATATCCGAGGTAAAGTAGGAGTAGCCGAAATTGTAGGAAAGATGAGAGAAAATCGGCTCCGGTGATTTGGACATGTGCAAAGAAGGCCGACTGACGCTCCGGTTCGAAGATGTGACTAAGGGACAGAGGTTCAGGGCCGAAGGGGTAGAGGAAGACCTAGGAAAACTTTGGAAGAGACTCTAAGAAAAGACTTAGAGTACTTGGATCTAACGGAGGACATGACACAAAACCGAGCGCAATGGCGTTCTAAGATTCATATAGCCGACCCCACTTAGTGAGAAAAGGCTTTGTTGTTGTTGTTGTTGTTGACACTTGATATCAGTTGTTAACAAGCCTTATTCTTGAAGAACTTTAAAAGGGTGAACTAAAACACAAATAGATTATAAGCTACGGGCTGCAAGCCTGACGTCGTTTCTCAATGCAGGTTTATGGCCCTAAGGCAGCAATGACCGGAATGTGCAAACAAGCAAGCAATTGAGTGCATCGTGGATGAAGCTTAAGAGTTTCTTATTCGCGGCTCTTTGTATGAGTTTTCAAGCCTCGAAGTGTGTTTATGATTTGGCCAAAAAGGCAAAAAGTATGAATTGTGAGTTTGTCTTGGCAAGATGAGAGCGCATAATTTCTTCAGTTTTCCAATCTTTTCAACTATTGTGACTTATTGTGATGAACCATGGTAAGTGTGTTCTTGTTTTGAAAGGAAATGGTTGCATTGTGTTGTTTTGAAAGTAAATGGTTGTATTCCTTCCTTTCCTTCCGTTTTCTGCCCCCTTGAGTATTTCAAGTTTAAACAAGTAAGAGGTAATAAGCAAAAGAAAATATGTATCACAAAAATTTTACATATCTTTAGAGAATGAGGAAGTGAGTAATTTTTATTTTTAAACAACAATATCCTACATGTAAGGGGAGGGCGATAGTCTACTATGAGGGGAGGGGGTGGATTGGGCTAAGAGAAAATCCAGGATCCATGTGTTTATTAATTTGAATCTAAGATGTTCGAGTTTATGATTTGTTTTTGTTCAATAGAAATTAGAGAATCAAACGTTTTTTGAAATGTCATCATTCAATTTTAAATGAATGTGTTTTGACTTTTTCATGTTTATTACTTTACGAAATTAATTTTCACATCCTTATTTTTCTTTATACACTACTTTTCATCTCTCACCCTTGTGTTGGATAAATAAAAATAAAGAATCAAATGACGAAGTTGCATTACAAGTTTTTCCTGGCAAATATATATAAAATATGAGGATTAACCACTTTTACCCTAAATGTAAAAAGTGAAAAACCCACTTGTCTATAATCGCCTTGTGACTTTCTCTGTCTCACACTGCTCGTTTCCGTGAGCAATGGATTGATTGCAACCCTGCAAAATTGGGGTAATTGTTTTTTTTCTTGGAAAATCTAGGCATTATTTGCGGGCAAGTATAAAACTTTGGTCAAAGTCTGAATTGGGTAGTTTTTTCTTTTCATTATTGTGAGTGTAAGCATGGAATGATTTGCAACTCTGCAAAAATTGGATCTTTCATTCTGCTTAGAAAAATGTAGATATATGCATGGATTGGTTGCATCTGTTGTTAATTAATTCTTAGAAGTTTGAAACTTTGAACAAAATCTGAATTGGGTAAAAATTTCTGATTATTATGAGTGTAGATATATGCATGGATTGGTTGCAACTCTGCAAAATTTGGGCATTAGTAATTTGTATGCAGCAGCACCTATGAGACCTGTAAGTTGGTAATTTGGTGTTAAAGACTTAAGGTTCTTCCAAAATGAATCTCTCTTTACACTTGTGAATTCGGACCTCTTTGTGCTGCTTGGGATTAAATTTATTTGACTGTAATCGTTACTGTTGATGGATTACTGAACAGTACAGTGGGTGTTACGTCCATACTCGATGGGGCTTTTGATAATACAGGGTCAGGCATTGCTTGAAGATTAGGTAGGTTATCAATTTTTGTTTGGATAATTTGGGTTTGTCATCGTCTTTTTTTTCCCCGCCTACTCCATGGTCTGACATGCGGTTATTTTCAGTGTTAAAGACTAGACTGAACATAATTCTGGCTTGCAACATTCTGAAGAATAGTCCCATGCTTGAGGTTTGTACCCTCTCTGTCTCGAACACATAGAGAAACAATACACACATGAACACGAGACTATCAGTTGTCTGTTTCTTTGTCGTTTGCATATGTGCAGGAATGGATTCGTCTGTGTTTGCACGTTTTGTTAGCTATTTTCACCGAATCATTTGCCCCTTGTTCTTGTGATTTCAGGTAGATGCTGAAAATTGTTGGTTCAGAAGCTAATCAATCTTGGGTTCACAAGGCCAAAGTCCGAAGGATTCTAGTCATAGCCGGGGCTTTTTGATTCTGCTGGATATGAGGAATGTTTACTAGTCTGATTCCAGACGTCAAGCGTCGTAGTAACCCTCACTAGTCCGATTATAGTCGTAAAGTTGACACTTTTCGCAGGCTATGGTGTGATTAAACATGTATCAGGCTATGGTTCACTTGTAAGGAATGAGTATCATTCTCACATGTTTTACAAAGAGGAGTGGAATTGGAAGGAAAGAGTTTATGCGGTTCAAATTTGCTTTTGGCGAGAATTAAACCTAAAATCTCTCACTTATAAGTGAAGAGGAATATCACATCGTAATACTAAGTGACCATGCACTTACTAACATGGGGAATAAATAAATAAGTGGATCTCTTGTTGATTTTGGTACGACATACCTGAAAAATTAAGGTATGGGATAATCATGGGGTGGTGGGTGTTTATCCCATTCCCATTCTTTCTCATCAACATTCCTTATCTTATTCCATCCCATACTCATACCAAGACATTAAACATGCCATTAATCCTATCATTAGTTGTGATTGAAATAAATAAGTTTCTTTATTTCCTTACAACTTGGACACTATTTTTTTGGGCTTTCTTGTTTCAATACCATTTTTAAGAAAACAATTTAGGAAAAATATCATATTTTTAGTTTAGGTACTAATGAAAATGTCAACCAAAATTATTTTATGAATATCACTATATAATTACATGATTACCCCTCAAACCCACTAACTTTTTGGGTTAGCAGTGGCCGGCCGGCCAACTTTCAGGCTAATTTTTTCAGCCGCACAACCAAATTTTCGGTGACTTTTTTGGTATGCTGGTCAACTTTTCGATGACTTTTTGGGTTATTGATCTTTTTTTTTTCTTCTGCCATTAGTTAAACTTTTCGTCGATATTTTCTAGCGGCCGAAAATTTCCAGTGACAGGCCACCAACTTTTTTGGTGACCGGCCAACGAACTTTTTCGACGCCATAGAAAAAATGATTTCAAAATGTCTTCAATGAGATTTGAACTTAAGACCTTAAAGTGAGAAATAACAACTTGTACTATTACACTAAATGGATAAATGGTTTTGGATTGATAATTAATAAAAAAGAAAAGAAGTATGACCCATAAGTAGTCCACATTTCTTAAAAGATGGGGATCCTCAGAAAACGAATGTCTTCAAATTCATAATCAAATGCCTAACAAAACCAGGAATCATATCAACTAGCCAGCGGAAGAAACCAAAAGAACGTTTGACCTACTACGTACTGATAGTGTATATAAATAGCACCACACTTATAACTTGATCATTCTCTTAATCTCCGTTTTTTCGGTTTTTTTCTTGACCGGATACAATATTTGACATCAAAGGACGTTGGAGTATGGTATAAAACCTTTTCCTTGAGAAACAGATAAACACTCCCTTTTTTTTTTTTTTGTTATGGTAGAATCATCATCTTGGGATTCTACTCCTTAATTACGGTTTCCTTGTATATCAAGTATTTTAGAATTGTAAGTATTTTAGGATTCCTGCTACAGTTGGGTTACGTTTAACCCTATATATATATATATATATATTATAAACTTTGTACAAAAATTAATTCAATAGTCAATTTTGCTACTTGCACCGGATTATCTACGATTAAAAAATGGATTTGTTCAATTTTATCACCCACAGTTTGAACCATGGTAAGATTCTCTCTGCATATCTGTGTGCATATATACATATATATATATATATATCAGTATATTTACGTTATTCTTGTGTTTCCTTGCATATATATATATATATATATATATATATACACATATATATCAGTATATTTACGTTATTCTTGTGTTTCTATGCATATTATTTTGTTGCAGGGGTTTCCAGATCATATTCAGATTCACCTCCAGCTCATTACATTAAAAAAAATAAAGTCGTTTTCAGTGCTAAAGAAACATTCAACACATGTACATCAATCAACGGAATTTGAAGCTGAAGGATACAAATGGTAATCCCCATTCTCATATCTGCTGATTAAGGATGTGTTTGAATTTTTTTTGGAATGGCTAAAAGTTTTTTTTTAATAATAAAGCGCTTTTGACTATGTTTTGCAAAACTTTAAAGCGCTTTTGAGTCTTAAAAAATACTTACTAGATAAGCACATGAATTTATAGTAAAAATTTCTACAGGTCCATAGTAAAAGCACTTCTATAGAGTTGTGGCCTTGTTACCAATGTTCACTAACAAATAGATCCACAGATTCATAGCAAACTCTTCTTTTCTTAGAGATACGGTCGATGTGGGATATGTGACTTGTGTTGTAATCCTCGTACGCATAAAATTTTATTTCTCCAATCATCACTATCTAGTTTTGGGTTAGACGTTCTAATACCATCAGGAAACCACGAATAATGCACCAGTGATACCTTGTGAATAAACTAACAAACACACACACACATAATGCATTTGAGTTGATGGTAGGTTTCTTCTTCTATGTTCAACATGCAATAATTCTGGCCTATTATGTATATCTACATACTCACAGGAAACTGGCGCTCTACCCAAATGGAAACAAGAAGAAGAATGTGAAAGACTTCATCTCTGTCTACTTGGAAATGGCTGGAGTAAAATCACTTCCGGCTGGTTGGGAAGTATATGTTGATTTGAGAGTGTTTTTGCTTGATCAGAATAAGGGATCGTACTTGGTTCTCCAAGGTATATATGTGTGTAATGTGTGTATGTGTGTATGTGTGTGTGTGTGTATTCTATTTCTCATGCATGCATCCAGCAGATAAGAGACCGGTTAATATGTGTTGATGAGGTCACGTCGAGAAGCTGAGGGTCTTTGTATATGCTTATTGAATGAGGGTCTTCTAAATTTTAAGGGATTAAGTCCAAGTTAGTCAGGAATGAACCATAAAATATAGATAGAGCTATTATAAATGTTTTCCATGAGTATTACAATGGTATGTGAGAGGGATTTGCAAATCATTACTTACTTAGAAGGTTTTAGTTTCAAATTCCTCTCACATGCTTTAATTAGTTCAACTCATATAAGACATTCCTTATCCCCTCTAAGTAACATTTGTAGACTTGAATTAAAACCCCTCACCCTAACATAGCTTTAGGGAATTGGGTTATCCTCATACATATTGCTAATTGATTTTATGGTAAAATATCAACTTCATTCATAATATATCAGAACAAATGTACCAACGTGTTGAGCCCAACACATGCTCCCACGTCACCCAATATATGTCCCCAACGTGTTATTCTTGAATGATCACACACGAGAGAATCTCAATTTCCTTCATGTGCTTTTGGACATTACTCATCATTTTTATGGTCTTTCTTATTAATATTTATTTTCTTGGTGCATTTAGATCCTAATATAAAG